AACAGCTCAAGCCGGAGCAGGAGCATGAGAGTAAAATATGTGCATTGTGGTACAGTAGCAGAGAGACTTTTGTAATTTAAATTGATAAATGGAGTAAAATATGTCAGAAGTTATCATTTAGTTTCTTTATATAAATGGGGAGATTGAAACAAACTCTTGGTACCTTTCTAGAAGGAGAGTACAGAAACAAGCAAGTGTGATGTATATGTGATGGACAGTAGCGGCACAGGTAAAGAGTGAAAAAACTCAAGTAGTTGGCAATAGTGACATTACCAGGTTGTGATGAAACCACTGTCAACAGTAACATGGTAGTAAATAAACATTTTCTGGACAAGGTGGTGTTAGACACTTATGGCAGCAGTGCTGCTGAGAAGGAAGGTTTTTATAGTGCTGGTGTTATTTTCTGTAGCAGGGGTTAGCACGGGTTGTTTGAGATGGTTCTATCAAGAACTCTGGAAGCACCGGAGCAGTGATCATTGCGGTACAGATTAGCAAGGTTACAAAAGGTGGGACTTGGGAGTGTTATCAGCTGTTTAAGTGGAAACGGAAACCTTTGCACTTTCCATGAAGATAAAAAGAACAATAGGAACAAAAATTATGATATGAAAGGTAGTGAAGAAAGATCATAACTTGATACCCTCTGCTCAAAGTTTACTACTGTATCAAACAATTGTGGTTTAAAAAAATCCAATTAAAAAAATAATAAGAAAATAAAAAAAGAGGAAACATTTTTATCTTAAATAACTAACATGCCAGTTATGATGTCCCATTTTGTGCAGAACAAATCAAATAGAGCACTTTCTGAAACTAAGCTACTTTACCAGAAATCGGCCATTACTAGAGGAACTGCATTGGAACTTACTGCTACTAGCTTCACATGCCCAATTGAATTGCTCAAGCTATTCCAGAGATCGTTGAACAAATCAGTGCGCCTACAATTTTTTTTTTTTCCGATAACTGGTCATCCATGATATGGTCCAAATGACAAAGCACAAACAGAAAATGAAAGCAAATTCCTAAAGATTACTGGGAATGCTCTACACATCAAAGTTACACTACTATACCTTCCACTGGTGTGTATCTCAATAGCATCAACGTCATTCCTTCTCAAGAGTTCAGATGTAGCGGCAGGATCCCTGATGTAAGTCATAGCTCCTGAACAAATTAAAGATGTACAGTTTGGTCTAGAGGAAACATTTGCATGAACTATAACACAGAACTCATGTCCTTGTAGTTCTGGGGTAAAAGAAAACTGAGTTGAAGTTAAGCAAGGGGAAATTGAAAATTTCCACGTCTTGAAATACTATCTACAACATCAAGAAATTAATAGAATAAAAGGAAATCAAGACCTACTGATTTTATCATACGGACAAACCGGAAAGCAGCGCCCACATCCATAACAGCGTTCTGTGATCACTCCACCCTGCACAAGTACATAGGTGAAACCAAAAGCAGTAACAAAGGAAGTACATATCCTGAAATTTGATAAAATGAACACCTGGAGGGTGCTTTTATCACTTCTTGTAGATTCATGTCCTACGGAAGTATTCTCCAATGATATAGCATTTGCGGGACAAACTTTTTCGCATGGCCTTGAGCAATCAAGCGGGCAATCCTCAGCATTAAATTCTGCAAAAGCAACATTTACTCAGGACAGAGATAATGAATCTGTATGGAATTTGTGAGATTAATGAGCACTATCCTTTAATAATCAAACCTCATGATAGCTGAACATGAGTAAAATTATTATTTGAGGTTGCATTTGGATTCAATTCAAGGAAACAGGACCCAGAGTTTACCTTCCCTTGTTAGATTATTTTTCTGTTCCAGTACATGGAAATTTTTCGTGACCTACGGCAACTACGTTTCCAAGGAAAAGGATCAGTTTATTCTGGTTGGTAACTAAACAAAAAGACGAGAGAAGCTCACCAGCTTTACGGAAATGTACATCCTCCCTATCATCATTGACACTGATCATCACCCACGGCCTCCGAACTGAAGCAATCGACAATGCAGCATTAATCCCATCGATCACAGCATTCACTACGGAATCTTCGGCCGCACAGTCAATGCAATCCACTATTAACATCATCGCAATTCGAGTCAAACAGCAATCCAATCCCCGATATAAATTCCAAAAAAACAAGCTTCGACCAAATCTATCACAAAGCTAATGGGGTCTTTCAGGGCTTCAATTTTGATCCAAACAAAAAAATGTGACTCCGTCTAATTTTCACATCCTTCCACCAAATGCGAAATAGGTTTCTAGGGTTTACATCAGATTTTACGATCAACACAATCCACCGTGGAATCATTGCAATTCAACACAAACAAGAACCCAATCACTAAGCTACTAGGTTCAGACAAAAACGCAATCTTTCATCCAGCTTACGAAACTGGCTGGAAAAGGAGAGGCTTTCGAGGTTTACTAGAGATCACTCACCTCCGGCGAGGGTGTAAACGAGGGAGAGATTCCTGATATCCGCCGCATCCTAAATTGGAGGAAAAAGGAGAGTAAAATCGCTCCCGATTTTTTTTTCCCTTCCTTTTTTTAGAAAAGAGAGTATTTTTAGGGTTTTTTCTGGTTGAAAGGGGGTTTGGTTACCTCGAAGCTAGCGCCGCAGATGAGCTTGACCCAGTCGCCGGCGCGGAGAGAATGGATCGGGGACGAGGAGAGAGATGGGGTTTTGAGATCGAGGGTGGATTCGATTAGGGTTTTGATGGGTTTCAGTTTTGGCGGGAGGGAGAAGGGGGAGGCCAACGTGAGAGGAGGCATCGGGATTCGGGGGAGGAGAGTGAAGAAGGAAGTGAGGACTTTTTTGGGTAGTTTTTGGGCATGTTTGCTATATCCACTCTCAAACAGTAATTTTGGGAGTTGGATTGCCGAAAATGCCCTTTTGATGTTGAGGGTGTTTCTAGAATGGACTTGGTCTGTTTTGGTTTGGGAGAATGGCAATTTAGTCCTCACACACCCCAAAGTTACTATTTGGAAGTGTGAATAGTTGGACTTGTTTTTGGGCCTGTTTGGTTCAATAGAGAGTAGGAATAGGATTAGGAATCCTATTTTATTTATGGATTCCAACCTAATCCATAAAAAATTTATAGACAAGTTTTAGTTTTATGGAATCACATTTTTTTGTATTCTATGTTTGTTTCACCTACGGATTAGGAATAGGATTAGGAATTAGAATAAAAAAGAGGAGAGGTATCAGAAATTCCACCCAATTCCTAGCAAATGGAGTGGATTTTGATTCCCTGAAATATACACTGTTTGAGCCACTTTATAGATTAGCAATTCTATAAAAAAAAATTGAACCAAACTCAGGATTAGGATTCATTTGGAATCCATTAATTACGAAAACGCCATTGTCAGGTCCAAAACCAAACTCAGGATTAGGATTCATTTGGAATCCATTAATTACGAAAACGCCATTGTCAGGTCCAAATATCATTCCTATTCCATAAAATTGGTGAAACAAACAGGCCCTTTCTATAGGAGCTTTGCAACAAGGACCCAAAATATGGGACCAATAGGGGGGACAAGTGAGGTGTCCTCCTCCTATTGGATAGTAAGTTGGTCATCATTAATGATGGTCAACTTATTATTCAATAAAAGGGAGGCACCTCACTTGTCCCCCCTATTGGTCACATATTTTGGGTCCTTGAGGAATTTTTCTTTCTATAGCCATGCAAGCGACTGGATGTTGTAGGACTCTGTGTGTGGGCAGGACCGGGCCCCGCGGTTTGGATTGTCTTATTCCAATTTAATTTTGATTGTCCCTTATATCAAAAAATTTGTACGAATAATAACGGTAAAAATAATACATATAATATTATTTAGCGTTCTATATTGGGCTCAAAGTGATAAGTTATATAACGCTACATTATAAAAAACTTGGTTGCCTTACATGTTAAAGCTTGGAATTTTATGTTTATAAATTATAACTCTATATTATATATAAAAAAATTTGGTTGCCCCAGCCCCAGGGCTTGGTGGGCTTACCCAGGGTCAGGCCCGTGTGTGAGTAATGCGCTCTGACGGGTGGGGTCCACTTGAGCCTGTTTTTGTGGGGGCTGCTTTTAGCTTGGTCATTATCCTGGCTGTCAGTAACTTTTACACTTTTATCTTGTTTGGTTGTGCAAAGAGAAAGGCTGACGTGGTCTTAAAAAAATCTAGCTGGCAGACTCCATGCAATTCCCTCCATGTACTTTGATGTTAGGTCCAGCTGGACGATGAGTTTCGGTATTATTGTACCTATCGCGTGGTTTAGTAAGAAAGATCCAAACATATTATTGTTTGTTAAAAGAAGAAATTTTCTAAATAAATCTATTCATAATTTTTTTTCCCAAAAAATAGACCTTCTTGAGTTTTATTTATAAAAATAGACTCATTCTATTTTAATCCGGTTCCTAAATAGTCGAGGTTGCCAACCCAGACTATTTAGGAGGTTATAAACCCTCAATTATAACATTAAATCTAACATTCTATGCACTAAATAGTCGGGGTTGGCAACCCCAACTTTTTAGAAACCAGATTAAGACAAAATGAGTCTATTTTTGTAAATAAAATTCAAGGGGATCTATTTTTAGGAAATAAAATTATGAATGGGTTTGTTTAGAAAATTTCTTCTTTAATAAAATTTAGGGGAAAGTTGCATGAGTTTTTTTGAATTCCTCTAAGGGCTTATTTTAGTGAACATTTTTAAACTACGTTTGTTTTTGGTAGAGTTAGACTTTTAAGATAAACTTGGTTACTTCTTTCATAATTGTCTCCTAAGGCCCTGTTTGGATTTGTAGGGAGTGAAGGGAAGTTAAGGGAAACTGAGTGAAGGAAATGGAAGGGAAATGAAGGGAAGGGAAGGGAATTCCCTTCCCCTTGGTTACACCTCAATTTGGGGGTAACAATTTTTATACTATTAGGGGGTGAACCAAGGTGAATGAAGGTGAATTAACTTCACCTCCTAAGTGTTCCCAAATAAGGTGAATGGAGGTGAATGGTTCCCCTAACTTCCCTTCGCCCTCATTCCCCTCAATCCAAACAAGCCTTAATAATAATATTCAAGCTTTGAAAAATCAGAAACTATCGAAAACGTCCGCAATCTGTTCGATCAAATTCCCCAACCAACCGTCGTCCGCTCTAGTATCTGCCTCTTGGGCAATGCTCTGAATTCTGGAATTTCGAGGAACAGACAGATTGTTCTTCATGGTTGTCGATTCGTGAGCGACGATGCTTTTGAGGAAGTCGAAAAGGAATTGCAATATTGATACAGTGTACGTTCAGGCTTATGCTAAATTTAATTTTCCAGGTCATTTTTAATTTCAGCACGCTGTTTTCAAGCTATATATAGCTTGACTTTGATTTACAGGTTGACAATGCTGATCAATCGGCATGTTTATTGTGTACCTTCGTAAAATTGTATCTTATGCGTGCACTTCAAAGAACTAAATTGTCGAAAGATGGCGCCGGTGTTCCCGGATCCAGGACATGAAATACGCAGTGAAGGGGGGGGGGGGGGGGAAAAGTGGAGCAAGAACAGTTTTGGAAGTAGCGCGAAACAGTTTTCATGTGTGTGTCGAGTTCTGGCGCGCGCCCGAGGCAGATCACTAAGCCGGTCGAGGGCCAGTACGTGCACAACCCTGGGTGATGATTCCTTGGGCTTGGTAGTCGTTACCACTGCCGATCAACCCGTTCAAAACCCGTGTAATTCAAACCCGAGGAGTCTGGAGTGGATCGGGCGACCGCCGAATCCTGTAATTGTTTCTGGGTTCTGTCGTTAGTCGCGGTCGACCGCGAGCATTGGGGCGGTCCGACCGCCCAGCGAGTTCAGGCCCAGAACTTAGTTTCCTATTCTGATTTGGTTTGTGTTTTGATATATATTGAAACACGTTTTAGGGTTTCTGGGAGAGCAGTAAAAGGGAATTTGAGAGACTTCTGAGCTGTATGTTCGGAAGATTTGATGAGAGATTTGAGGTAAGACAAGTGCATATGCTAATAGAAAATTTAGGAGATCGATATAATTATGGAATATCCTAGATAAAGTTTCCTCTTTAAGGTCCCCAGCTTCTAATTATATTATATACATGTAGCCCCCTGAGAGAAAATGGCGGCGGTTGTGTGCTAATTAAAAATAAATATATTTTAAAGAAAAATCTAAAATGTTCTAGTGTAGCCTACTCAACTAACACCGTTTGCAAAGTTGGGCCCTTGATGACATTGCTCTATATTTAAATACTTAATTATTATTTAAACTAAATATCAGCATCCGTAGCCAATCCCTGCATGCGGTTGTGCGTTACGCTCACGACAGAAAGAGGAAGGTTCAAAATAAAATAAAATAAATAGTAGAACCCTCTACCAAATTCCAGCACCTTTAAGCAAATTCAAAAGTCAATGCGTGTGTGCTGTTTTCGAGTTATTAATTATTTGAATATTCAATATCAAGACTAGAACGTTCACTGAGGGCGTGTTGTGTTTGAATAGGGTATTTTACTCTAAAAACTAAGAGGAAAGCTATCAAAATGACAGCTTTTTGACGGCTTTCCCCCCAAATCATCTCTTTAAGAGGCGGTTTTGGGGGAAAACTGCCAAAAAACTGCCATTTTGACAGCTTTCCTTCTAATTTTCGGGGCAAAATACTCCATCCAAACGGGCCCTGAGTTTATCTGACCATCATCTTAATTTTGTGCTAGTCGCCCAACTTTATAATTAGCTAGAGAAATTTAGTTAACCTTAACTAGCGTTTTGTATTGATATTGTCGGAAGTTGAAATAGGTTTTAGAGTAATTTTAGTAGCCTCATCGGTCTCTCTTGTTTCCACGGCAAAAAAATAAAAAAAAAAAATTATACACTGTGCAACTAAGGGGTGTTTGGTTCAATTTCTACAAATTATAGGAAATGTTTTCCACCCAAAATATAATTTCCTTGTATTTCTTAAAAAATTATAGGAAAAGTTTTGAGAAGTCAAAAAATACCAATTTTCTTATTTTTTTTTTTTACTTTGCTTGTTTGGTTCAAAACAAAAAAAATGACACATAACTTTATAGAAAATAGCAAAATTTCCTATAATTTATAGAAATTGAACCAAACATCCCCTAAATTTATAGAAAAACTGTATAAAAAGTGTCAATGTGGTGTTAGATTTCTGGGTGATTTCCGCCCATTTTGAGATGAAACTGATTTCTGTAAATTTTGATACTTTTTTTTTTACTTTACAGAAAACATTTATGTAAATTTTTTTTGAACCAAACATAGTTTACGGAAATCTACATAAAACTTTTAATTACAGATCTGCCATTGTCAGATATTTTGAGAAAAATTTTCTATAAAAGTGTGCAACCAAACACCCCCTAAGAGTAATTACATCGTTATTTATACTTCATGAAGATAGGAACTAGCTTATTTTGTACACCATTAAGAGAAGAAAATGAAGCCCGAAAATTTTACTCAAACAGCAGGATCTCTGACCGTGATACACTTAGTTAGACATCTGGGGCCTCTCTAGCATGCAAAACTCTCAATCGAGCAATTATATCTTTATTTCTACTTGCCAAAGAGGGGTGAAAAAAAAATATAGAAACCTGAAAATTTAACCAAATAAAAGGTATCAACCTGATCGCACGCTGGTTTTAGTTGCGATTTGCAGAGTTATAGATTATTGACCGGGATGCATATAATTTCCATCGGGGGTAAAGTTTGCTAGAATGAGATTTAGAGGGGCATATGTAAAAAGGCCTTGCCTTCCCATTGAGAGCCATCTCATTAGGTGTCTATTTGATTCTGGAACAAAAATGACTTAAGACACCCAAAAAACATTGGACCCTATATGGGACAGGTGAGGTGTCGGCTCTCTGTCCCATGGTGTACTGTTTATGAACAGTGCATCATGGGATAGGGAATCGACGCCTCACTTGTCCCACATGAACAGTGCATCACGAGACAGGGAGCCGACACCTCACCTGTTCTTTGTAGGGTCTCATGTTTTTGGGTCGGAAAATAATAGAGGCACACCTCCTAACCACACTTCCAACCACACTCCTCTCTCGCTATAGTGCACTAGTGCCCATATGAGAATTTTTAAAAAATTCTCATGTGGATCCCAGTTCACTCTAACGAGAGAGGAGTATGGTTAGGGGTGTAGCTATAGCGACTCTCTTTTGGGTCCTATAGCACCACCCATTGTGGAATATTCAGCCCTCAATCCCAAAGTACACGTGTCCACGCCCTCTCTCCCTATAAATACACTTGGCTTCTCCTGGTTCTCTCTGAGCTCTCCGAAGCAGAGCAGCCCTGTTAATTCTCTAATAGTTCTCATGGCGCCACCGAGCGCGCCAACCATTTACGCAACGCCCCCTCCTCTCTTCTCTCTCTCTAATCAAATTCTATCCGCTCGAAGGTTCATCCCTCCTTCTCCCTCACTTCAAGCTCCTCCACAACGTCTCGTTCAATGGCGGCTTTCTCACGACCCGCCAAAGCTCCAGGAGGCCCACCTCCACCCTCATCAGCCGGAGCCCACTCCAGCTCCCACAAGAGCGCGGCCCGTCTCCTCCGCTTCTCGCAACCAGACCGTCGCGAAGCCTTCCTCAGAACCCCATTGGGCCGATTCAGTAACAGCAGGCCCTTGTTCTCAGCGTTTTTTCAGGTTCAAAACCCTGTGGATCGGACCATGTGGGGTCGTCAAACGCGGCGACGGTCCCGATGGAGACCCAGTGGATCCTGTTCAACTCCACGAGGCTCCGGCCTTACGCCCTCCTGTGTCCGTTACGGTCCGCGGCTCAGTGTCCGGTCGCTCCGGCCTTGCACCTGCTCGACCGTGTGATCACTGACGATCTGGGGCCAGAGCGGGTTCGGCCGTCCAACCTAGCTCTCGTTCAAAGCCCAGTAGCCATATGTGCACTTTGGTGCAACCCCTATGACGTAATCAACGGAAGCGTTCACATCCCTGAGAGCCACCTCGACACGTTTAGGCTGCGTTGGAGGAGAAGCCGCTTCCTCCGATCGCGGACAAGTTTGGTTGGTGCACCTGGGATGCGTTTTATCTGACGGTCGACCCCCTCGGAGTCTGGCATGGGGTCAAGGAGTTCTACGACGGTGGGTTTTCGCTGCGGTTTCTTGTGATAGACGATGGATGGCAGAGCGTCGGTTTCGACGGAGGAAGGAAGGAGAGTCTTGTGATCGGTGGCCAACAGATGACCGCGAGGTTATACCGATTCGAGGAGTGTGGTAAGTTCAGAAGATACAAGGCTAGGAGTTTTCTCGGCCCGAATTGTCCTAGTTATGATCAAAATAGAACCAAGCTCCTTATCTCCAAACAATGTGAGATAGAAAAATTTGAGAAAGCAAGATACAGGGCGATGCGGGCTGGAAATAGTGATGAGGTAGTAATCCTTGACGCCAAAATAGCACGTCTGAAGAGAGAAGTCGATGAGTCGTTTGATGAGAGCAATGATGATGAGGATGATGAGGCTGACGCCGAAGTTGGGTTTAAGGCCTTTACTAGAGATTTGAGGGAGAGGTTCAAGGGGCTGGATGATATTTATGCCTGGCAAGCTCTTTGTGGAGCTTGGGGAGGAGTCGCGCCCGGGTCAACTCAGTTTGATTCGAGAATTATACCTGTGAAATTGTCCCCGGGATTGGATAACACGATGGAGGATCTTGCGGTGGTGAAGATTGTTGAGGGTGGCATTGGCCTGGTTCATCCTGATCAAATTGCGGATTTTTATGACGCGATGCACTCTTATCTCTCAAGTGTTGGGATCACAGGAGCCAAAGTTGACGTTATACACGTAAGCCCGCAAATTTATTTCATTAAATTTCCATAGTTATAATGCTACTCCATTCTCACGTTTGTTATCATTTAAATACAACATGTGTCTATATTCATTTTTCGTCTTAACAATTTGTTCTTGGATGCTGAAGATACTAGTATGTTGTTATTCATTGCTTATGTAGACGCTCGAATATGTTTGCGAGGAATTTGGAGGTCGAGTGAACCTGGCGAAGGCCTATTATGATGGCTTGACTAAGTCCCTTGTCAAGAATTTCAATGGAACAGGAATGATATCTAGCATGCAGCAATGCAATGACTTCTTTTTCCTTGGGACTTCACAGATATCTTTTGGGAGGGCAGGTTTGTTTTGATGCTTAAATTATGTAAACATGCCCTCCTGTTCTTTAAAAACCTGAGCAGGTATACCCTCATGCTTTAAGCATAAACTCGAGTTCGGTTAAATTTCAGGGTAAATTCAGATAACCCCCAAAAGAGTTTGGCTCATTTAGATACAACACCAATTTTTTTTTTCAAAATGACACCAATTTTCTGATAACCTTCAATATAACACAACTTTTTTGGTGTCATCTGACATTTTAAAAACTTTCCGGTGCTAGCTCAAAATGGGCCAAACTTCTGGGGGTTTATGTGAAACTTAACCTAAGTTCTAACATTAACCAACATGAGTTCATGTTTGGAGATGGTATGATATGGGTATATATGCAGGATTTTTGAGACATGGAAGGGTTTTCTTTTTTGTGATTCACAATGTTCTGCGAGTAGTATGAGAAGAGCCACATATAGAGGTATGTGTTTCATACGTGTTAAATTATAAAATAAATTGCGGATGTGCCCCCTTATACTATCACCCAATTGCGGGTAGAACCCCTGTAGTTCTATTATTGCAGGCGGATATACCCCCTGAGTGAAATTTTTTTTTTCGAACTCTTTTACCCTCAGAGAAAAGACAAACAGAACTCTCGAGGTAAATTTTACTTGGGCCAACAATAGAACTACGTGGGGTTAAATTCTATGCAATTACGAGACTGTGAGCTCATTAGGCCATCTCTTGCAAACAGGGGACGACTTCTGGTTCCAGGACCCAAGCGGCGATCCATCAGGAGTTTACTGGTTGCAGGGAGTTCATATGGTCCATTGCGCGTACAACAGTCTGTGGATGGGCCAAATTATACAGCCAGATTGGGACATGTTTCAGTCCGATCACTGTTGTGCTAAGTTCCACGCAGGATCCAGGGCTATTTGCGGTGGACCGATTTATCTCAGTGATTCTGTTGGTTGCCATGATTTCGCCCTCGTCGATCAGCTTGTGTTTCCTGATGGTACTATACCCAAGTGCATCCATTTTGCGCTTCCGACGAGAGATTGCCTGTTTAAGAATCCTCTGTTTGATGGAGAGACCATTCTCAAGATTTGGAATTTGAACAAGGTATTTTATGCTATGCTCAGATGGATTTTATAATTTCGGTGCTAATATAAGTTCAATGTTGATAGAATTGAAAGCTAACTGATTATGAATTGAGTTGGGCTACGCTACTGTTGGTAGCATCCAAGACGCCGATACTATAGATCCAATTTTAAAAATTAGATTTCTAAATTGAAAGTACACATCATTGGATGTGATTTACAGCATGTCAAACTTTTATATACAAGATGATTCAAAATCAATGTCTGCGATTTTTCAAAGAATAATTATCGCCTCTCGATACACGATTTAAAACAAATTAAATTTATTGGAAAATTTTGCTTCTAAGTAGACCGTGCACGTTATATCACATCCATCGGTGCACATTTTCAATTTGGAAATCCGAACTTTTACACTTCTACTTATAGCATCCGCATCTTAGATACTATTAATATTAGTCTAGCTCAACTCACTACTTATTTTCCATCGATGATCGGCTTAGCTCTTCAAATTTTCTTCATTCAACAACTCTTATAAGTATACGCAAGGCAAACGCATACGAATCTTTAATATCTTGAATGAACAATTCAGCTCTCTAGACGATCAGTTTATATGAAATATATAATGTTTAATCGAGTGCTAACTCACAAGTTTCCAACAGTATGGAGGTGTCATTGGAGCTTTCAACTGCCAAGGAGCAGGCTGGGACACAAAGGAGCACAAAATAAGAGGCTACTCACAATTCTACAAACCAGTCTCAGGTTCTGTACACGTCAAGGACATAGAATGGGACCAGAAGAAGGAGACATCTAAAATCAGCGAAGCACAACAGTACGCGGTCTATCTCAACCAAGCCGAGAAACTAATTCTGACGACGCAACAACCCGACGCAATCGAAATCACCATCCAGCCATCTTCATTCGAGATCCTCAGCTTCGTGCCGATGACAACGATCAGTGGTTGCAATGTGAAGTTTTCGCCTGTCGGTTTAACGAACATGTTCAATAGCGGGGGGGCTATTGTTAACGTGGAGTATGTTGAGGTTGAGGTGAAGGTTAAGGTGAAGGGTAGAGGGAGGTTCTTGGCTTACTCTAGCGTGAAGCCTAAGAGGGTTTGTTTGAATGGATCTGATGTGAAGTTCGAATGGTTGTTTGATGGGGGGTTGATGGTAGAAGTTCATTGGCGGGAAGAGAGTGGGGGTGTTTCTGAGATTGTGTTTGAGTATTGAGGGTAGGGGAGCAATTGTAGTTCTAAAGTGAAAGTTTGAGTGATAGATTTGCGTATAATATGAATTTATTGCACATTGACCCCTTTAGTGTTGTTGTTTCAAGCTATCACTGTAGTTTCATTGGTGGCGATAGACCCCTTGAGTAATTTTTTTTTTGGCTCTCTAATTTCATCCAGAGATGATATCTGTCAAAATTTCTCCGTTGGTAAATGAGTTCAAGTAATTAATTCTAAGGCGATACCTATCAAGTTTTCACCAAGGGTAAAGAGTCAAAAAAAAGTTAACCCAAGGAGTCTATGCGTGACAATGAAACTACAAGGGTACTAAGTTAAACATGTTGCAAGCGACAACTACCAAATGTTAGGCACCGGTTTTTTTAATGTCGGTTTAGGGCCCGTTTGGTTGGTTTCCTAAAAATCAAGAAAAGGAAATCGGTACAAGGAAATCAATAAAATAATATTTTTACCCATTTCCATCCCTAAAACTCACCCACAACATCTAATAAAATATTATTTTTATCTTCCAACTCATCTCATTTCATCTCCTTTCTTACATTTAAAAATAAACCAAACAGATGATATCTGTCAAAATTTCTCCGTTGGTAAAAGAGTTCAAGTAATTAATTCTAAGGCGATGTCTATCAGATTTTCACCAGGGGGTAAAGAGTCAAAAAAGTTAACCCAAGGAGTCTATGCGTGACAATGAAACTACAAGGGTACTAAGGTAAACATGTTGCAAGCGACAACTACCAAATGTTAGGCATGTCGGTTTAGCACCATTTGAAAAACGAAGTGAAGAAAATATAAAAAAATTGATTCAATTGCCTATAAATAGGCTCAAAATGTTCTGTGTTTAAAACAACAAAATTCAATCTTCACATATATAGAAGTGAGAGAAAATAGGGAGAGTTTACCTTTGTAAAGAGAGATTGTAACTCCTAAATTTTTCTCATAGTTGATTTTTCTATTTTTGACCGCATTTTTACCCCAAATTTATGTAGGGGGTTTTTCCATGTAAAAATCTGTGCGTCTAATTTATTATTTCTGCACTAACTTTAGCTGCGATCATGCTCTATCGGGCCCCATTTTTTTTCCAACAAGTAGTATTAGAGTTTGGTTTAGGGTACATGTATTTGCTTATCGTATGCTTTGTGGCTGCCACCAAATTTGATCCTCCACATGAGAAAATAAGCTAGATTATCAGTTACCATTTAAAGACACTGACCACTGTTCACGAGTCCGGTACTATTTACGAGTACGGATACTATTCAAGAGTACGATTATTGTTTACAAGTACGATTATTAGTTACATGAAATAGTAGAAGCTGTCGTTCGTGATAGAAGCAATGGTGGCGAAGTTTGAGATTGAGAAATTCAATGGGAGTAATTTCTCACTGTGAAAGTTAGAGATAAAAACTATCTTAAAAATAGATAAATGTCTAGCGAGCATCGATATAAGGCTGGAAGACATCACAAATGATAAGAAGTCGAACAAGATGGAAGGTATCTGTATGTTTGGTAACATTTATTCCCAGTTCAATGCTCGATTTAATTTCTAATTTCCTATTCCTATAGAAAAATACTAAAATCATGTAGAAAGAGGAAAATCGGCCAGATTGTTTAATAAAAAATTTATTTATTATTATAATTGAAAAGGCATATAATTTTAAAAATAATAAATTAATATTGTTCACCCTGTTATATTATTTATAGTTTCAAGACTTTTTCGATTAATGGGGTGTTTGGTTGTATAATTTTATAGAAAAAATTTCTCAAAATATCTAACAATGACAATTTTGTAATTAAATTTTTTTTGTAGATTTACGTAAAATGTGTTTGGTTCAAAAACGTTTACAGAAATGTTTTATATAAAGTACAAAAAAATATTAAAATTTACAGAAATCAATTTTCTCTCAAAATGAGCGAAAATCACCCAGAAATCTGACATCATATTGACACTTTTCTACAAATTTAGGGGGTGTTTGGTTCAATTTCTACAAATTATAGAAAATCTTGTTATTTTCTATAAAGTTATGGGTCATTTTCTTGTTTTGAACCAAACAAGAAAAATTATACTTTTTGACTTCTCAAAACTTTTCCTATAATTTTTTAAGAAATACAAGAAAATCATATTTTGCATGGAAAACATTTCTTATAATTTGTAGAAATTGAACCAAACATCCCCTAAAACTAGTAAAGCAGGCACATACAATGCGCCTGCCGATTTCATCTTCGTGTTTACGCAAATAGTATCACAAATCTTATATATACACAAATTAGAGTACATGTGCCACATATACAAAAGCTACATTTACGAATGTAGTATGGACATAAGTTTTTATGTGCAACTTTGACAATAATTTTTTGTTACTACATTTTGAAATCTAGCCGATGACTAAAATTTTCAAAAAATTTATATTACTACATCTTATCATATATTTTATTTAGGCTAATTTGCACATGACTCTCTTAGAGGGTGTTTGGGGGGCTTATTTTTTGGTCAAACTAGCTTTTAAGCTAGTTTTTTCATTTCTATCTGTTCGGTAAAATACAAAGTAAGTTAACTTATAAGACACATTTTAAAAAGTTGGTATACCTCAGCTTTTAAAAAAACTAACTTATAAGCTCAACTAAATAAGTTAGGTCTAACCAAACAAACTACTATACTACCCAAATATTTTTTGTAATATTTTTATCATAAAAGTCAAAAGCCGCTAAAAACTAACATTAACTTATAAGCTTATAAAAAATAAGTCTTCCCAAACACCCTCTTGATTCATTTATTAGCAGTTAAATCATTTCTTTTTTTTTTTCAGGTAGGAGGTTTCAATTAAAATGGAAGTGTAGGGATACATAAAAAATGGTCATTTGAACACTTTAAAACAAAAGTTTCAACCTTTATTTTTAACTTTGGGGTCCCTAATGTTCAATTGTGACTTTTGATAACTTTTGATAGCCTCAACTTTGTTCCTTCCTTTTCCAAAACTCAAAGCTTAAAATCCGATGACAATTTTTTCCCTTGTTAAATTTCGTATGTGAATATAATTGAATGGAATTAACAATTATTTTTTATTTCCATTACTGATAATCAACTTATTAAAGAAAAATTCAAGGTATCAGAAGAGAAATTAATGCCTTTTTTCTTTTTTATGGCATGATTCTAATGTCAAAATTACCGGGTCAGTTTTATCATGCGGTTAGATCAAACACAAGTTTTTTTGAGCAAATTTTCTGAAAAAGGACTAATTTCATGTAGGGCTGAGCTTGGTTCGATCCAAAACGAAAAAACCGACCGAATCGACCCGAAAAAATCGGTTTTATGAGTAGGACGGTTTGGATCGGTTTGAAAACTTTTCAACCCGAACCGACCGAATATAGTGTAATACTACCCATTCTGATCTCAAACCTTACCCGATCCGTCTCCAAAGAGTCAAAGACTCAAACCCTAAACTCATTTTCCGAATCATTATGAGTTAAAAACAATATCATTATATTAATGTTTAATGTTTCATAATCTCCTACTTTGTTGATATCTTTTTTTTTCTTTAACACAGTTTGTTGTTTAATACGAAGTTTGATGAAGTTAGAAACGAACAAACCGAACCGAACCGCACGGAACCGACTTACAACAGTTCGGTTCGGTTTTAAATTATAGACGGTTCAATTCGATTGTTCATATTTTGGTAAAAACCGAACCGAACCGACCATTGCACGCCCCTAATTTCATGGGACTAAGATTTTTTCCCCCTCTCTTTATCTAGAGTTAAAAATGAATTGTCATCAAAGTAATCTTTTGAAAATAAATATTTAGTCAAGCAGGGGTTAAGAATGTTCAGTGACCTATTTTCCTCGGGCCCACCAACTTGTGCTTTTTTGCTGGGTCAAAACGCAGGTCAACTTTTAAGGTTTCAATTCCCGGGAATGCCACGTCAGCAACAGACACAGACGATGAATGCTCTACGAAACCACGCCGATCCTTCTCTCGTCTTGTTCCTCTGCCCCCGGACCACCCTCGCTAGCCTACGCCTCCCCCCGCTAACCTGCGCCCCCCTCCAAAAAAAATCCCCAAATCCCTAGGGTTTCATTCGCCAGTCTAGGGTTAGGATTTTCGTATAAGAGATGCGGGATGTCCGCAACTGCCTGATGAAACTATTCTCCTCTGCTGGAGCCCTGTCGACCCGCCGCCGCCGCCGTCGCGGCGATGTTTTAGCGGCGGCGCAGCAGGGACGCGATGGACTGCTTTGGTATCGGGATCTCGGGCGGTGCGTCGACGGGGTTGAGTTCTCGATGGCAGTGATTCAGGCGAATCAGGTTCTTGAGGATCAGAGCCAGATCGAGAGCGGGGATTTCGGGACGTTCGTTGGGATCTACGATGGTCACGGTGGACCTCACGCTGCTAGATACGTTTGTGATCATCTGTTTCGAAATTTTCACGGTAATTTTCTCTTGATTTTTGTTTCAAAGTTTAAATTTTTGTCGAAATATACGTGAATTAAATGATTTTGGGAGGACTGGAAGGTCTTGAAGATTTTGCTGAACTGTTGTATGATTTTGAAATTAGCTGGACTTGATTGATACTGGGAATGAAGTTTAGTTAAGATTTAGCTTGTAGAAATTTTATAGGAGTGTTGGTAACGGTCTTTAATTTTGTTAAAATGTATGAGTCAAGCCATTATTTATAACTCTTTGTTAAATGTTATGGGCAAAGACGTGCATGTGGCCGTATTTAAATAGAAAAATAACTTGATGGATTTACTTATTATACAAAACATAGATATTTCTTTGTGTGGTTTCTTTTGTTTTAGGAAGAAAATTGAGAATGCATTTTAATTAAGATAGACTTATTTGAGCATATATGACGGTAGACCAGAGGGGTGTAAAATGGACACGCAACCATCTTGCAACAATCGTTTATTTTTCCTATGCACATTACACATGTGGTAACTTATATGGAAATTTTCGTTCGGCATCCCCTCCTCCTCCCCCCACGTTTATATGTAAGCAAAGGGGAAGTGATGTGATTTTAGTGGAGTCCAACTTATTGATTTCTAGTGGCAAGTTAATTTTTGAAACCCTTACAAAGAGGTTGTAGAAACACTGTATTTTTAAATCCCTTTGTAGACTATTTATGAACGAAACCTTTGGACAGTCTAACTTCAGGTCAGCTTACTCTCAATTTGGTAGAATGAACTGCATAGGAATGACTACAAGATACTAGTTCAACAATATAGGGTTTGCCTTCTAACTTCAATGGAGTGATCATTGGGATGCTGACGTAATAACCACCAACCTGCTGTATAGGTTTGGTGATAGCATCTAACCTTGGACCAAATGCTAACCCTCTAGAGTCTAGAGGAATCTGTGCCTTATAGTTCTATAGTAGTGTAGATTAATGTTCTGAGACTTGAGATTAACAGAAGAAGCTATTTTGTTGCTTAGATCCTTTGTTGTTTTTAAAAACCGTTCATAGTTGTGATTTTGTAGTTGGAGCTTAATAGCAGTATAGTTTATTGGAGAATTTAAGCTCAAGTCTTGGTGGATTATTAATTTGTTTAATTAAAGGAAGACATTTGGTATTTCATTATGCATGACTCATGAGTTATAGTTTTGGAATTTCTTCTTGACGTGTGCATTAGTTGTAATGTTCAGGTTTGATGTAAATTTCTTTCTGAATGTAGGTTGTTGAGGTTGATAAAAATGAATAAGGGGGAATAAATTATTTTTCCAACTTTTTTTTGAACTTTCTGTTTTTCGGAGGTTGCACTGTTCCCTCTCTTCACTTGTATTCATCTCTTCGTTATTGCCATCGCCAATTATTGGAAGGGACTCTAAGCGTCTCTTTTGGTTATATGGCTTCCCAGCTGTCCTTCATAATTTTCGCATTGGGTTTTTCTCAGAGTGGTATATTTTCTGAGTTATTAGGTGTGGGTTTACGCAGAGATTGCATCTGGACCACAGGGGGTAACATCAGATGGTATACAAAGAGCTTTTCTGGCAACAGAGGAGGGGTTTATTGCACTTGTTTCAGAGCTTTGGAACACCCGACCAGATATGGCAACTACTGGGACTTGCTGTCTTGTTGGCATCATTTCTCAGAGGACTCTCTATGTTGCAAATTCAGGTGATTCCCGTGCCGTGCTTGGGAGAAAGGTTGGCTGTACTGGTGAGGTTGCTGCAATACAGTTGTCAACAGAACATAATGCCAATGTGGAGGCTGTGAGACAAGAACTCAAGGCGCAACACCCTGATGATCCTCAAATTGTTGTTCTTAAACATGGAGTTTGGAGAGTCAAAGGCATCATACAGGTTAATTCCTGGCACAATTCTTTTGATCTTTAATCTTTAAATCTTTTGGTTAATGTTTGTCGTTTTCGCGTCAGGACTGGTTCTCTAATCTATGTTACATTGTTGTTTCTTTGTGCTATTTCTTCTGAAATAGCATATTCTAAGCATCTTCTCGTGATAGATTTGTATTGTATATTTGTATTCCTGAAGCATACATATCCCTTTGTTTGACTTTTATCTGACTTGGCCGGATTATATGATCTTGTTTTGTTAAAGACTAAACTAGTCATTTTGGATGACGTAGTCATGGTAAGGCATTGTATGCGATGCCCATCTGACTGATCAGTTATTGTAAGTCAAGTCATTATCTCTTCCTTTAAGGCTATTACTATTCCAGTGCGCGCAATGCGTGCATGATACAGTACACTTCTGCATAATAAAAATGCTTTCAAACTCTAATTCCTTATACAAACAATGAGATCTCTAATATCAATGAACGGAGATAAAATATTTATATAATTTTAATGAAGGGAATTAAAGCACTCACAGATTTGAAAAATTCACATATGCTTCTTCTTCTCTTTCAAACCTTATACTCAAGGTTTTTGTGGTGTTGAACAGTTCACGGGAGTTTTGTATTTTATTGCATTTGATTCTTGAAAATGGGAGGATTAGTGGGTTAGTTAAGAGTGTTTGGGCGAATTTTATTAGACTTTTTCCAAGTTTGTCCTAAGACTAACTTCCAAGTTGTATATAAAATTTGAAATTATTGGGTTTTGAAAATGAAGCTCACAGGCCCAAAAGCCTGGCTTCTCTTAAATATAGTAATAGATATTATTGGAATAAGTTTTCTCCCTCATTCATGAAGGATTCCTAATTTTAAGATTAGATTGGTCCATGCTACGCTACCACCACGTGACTATTAAAACGATCCTCATCCTTCCTAGCCAACATTAAGCCTTCTACGCTCTGCCAAGCCACTTTTAACTTAATGTAGACATTTGCAATGCTGGCCAGCCCGATTTTTAGTTGCCATCACAAAAATTTTTATGTTCTCAGGAAAATGTCAGATTTTCACACTGTAAAACAGTAAAAGGTTTCCTGTCAGATTTTCACAATGTAAAACCGTAAAAGTTATAGATGTCTGTCAAACACATTTAAGCTATGAACTAGTTATGCTTCAGAACTTGCATGGTTCTTAGAAAGAATAAAGAAAATTTTGTTTTTCTCATAGTCAAAACCATTTGGCATAGATACAGGTACTGTAGTTTTGGATTGTTCGTTGGGTAATGTTAACCTTTGCCTTCTGGATTGAGTATTACCATATAGATGTTTTATCTAAGTTCACGGCATTGTTGAAGATTTTTTTTTTGTGTATTGAATGCTTCATGTCTACATTTATTAATTTGTTCACCCCCAATAAATGGATCAGAACAGTTGACTTGGGTTTGTTGTTTTTATTTTCTGATTGAAAGTTTTCATGCTTTGATTATTTGGAATTAATTGCATGGGCTTTTTTGTGGACTGTCTTATCATTTACACAAGTTGTTTGTTCTCGTGCTCAATATTTGTATGGACATTTTTGACCTCAATACATTCATTCTCCATGGTGACATTTGTTTGGTCAATACTTTATTGCATGCCCTGCAGGTTTCTAGGTCTATAGGTGATGCATATATGAAACATGCGCAGTATAACACGGAACCAATCAATATGAAGTTCAGACTTTCTGAACCCATGAGCATGCCTATCTTGACTGCCAATCCAACTATCATATCTCATCATCTTCAACCAAGTGACTCTTTTCTCATATTTGCTTCAGATGGCTTGTGGGAACACCTAAGTAATGAGAAAGCCGTTGAGATTGTTCACAATCATCCCCGTGCAGTAAGCATCTATTGCCTGATAATATTTATGGTGTGCATTATTCTTTTGTATGTTATATCTCAACAAAATTTTGATTCCCTTCCTGTGCATATTTATGATTTCTATTTCAATGATATCTCTTGCAATAAGTTGAAATCTTCTAAAATTATCTAGTTGTTCTTTCTCCATGCAATTTTGAGGACATAAATAGCCAATTAGGCTTCTGTGAACAATTCAATAATATTATATTCCTTGAGATGTACATATATTCTAGAGATGTAGACACACCCACAGTCATTATGATTTGGCTAGCATACCACGTAGACATACGAAATGCATTCTATTTTCAGGCAGAATGTTCACTGACAGGGGAAGAAACATTTTTTGTAGCGGTCATATAACTTTTAGACCTGGGAGAAAAGCAGGTTTACATGACACCAAAACGAATGAGGGAGGTTATGTTGTTATCAGAGCATCTTTGTAGATGCTAAGATAGTATTGTGCAGTTGATATTTTATAGGGGAGCTTTCGATGATCATTTTCACTAAATTGTTATCTGAATATGTTCGGATAGTTGGTTCCAAATTGCATTGCTCCTTCTACCAGCTAAAAATAACTTTTATTCCTACCAGTACAGAGTTCAAACTTAGGCAGTTGGTTTTTCGAGGCCCCACAACTAAATGTTCCTAATCAAGGACACTCGAGTAAATCACGATAGAACTCAGGAGGCAGGGCTGTTTAAGAACTTCAAAGTGTGCTTTGAGTATTGAGTTATGGGTTTAAGTACTGGTGTATAGTAATCTATGAGGGCACTTGATTTGGTTATTTACAGGCATTAAGAAAAGCAACAAGTCATACCCTTGAGGCCCTGTGTCAAAAGCACTGGTTGAGGTACTATGCAGTTTTTCTGGTTGAACTAAAAGAGCGAAAACTTCAATTAAGATCAATTTATGAGTAAGCAATTAGATAGTTCATGGGAAAGGAAAACAACGTAGGATTTGACGTTTCTGCTCCGCTTGGATTTTCTCTGATTTTACTACCATTGTTTGACATATCACCATGAGTTTGATAAAAGCGCTATGTATACATAAATCTGCTGTTACCGAACTCGTTCTTGTTGCAGGGAAGTGCCAGAAGGCTTATCAAAGCTGCTCTCCAAGAAGCGGCGAGGAAGCGAGAGATGAGGTATTCGGACCTCAAGCGGATCGATAAAAAAGTTCGACGCCACTTCCACGATGACATAACCGTCATCGTGCTATTTCTGAATCACAATATCACGCCCCGAGCTCACACGCAGGTGCCTCCGATATCGATTCGAAGCGCTTTAGAACACTGATTAACTATATGAAGGGAAGGAATTTTATTCGATAATTTTTGTAATTTTAGCTATATCATTGTTTTGATGATTGCAAATAGAGAGCATTGACCTGGAAGGATTTATTACTGCAGCAAATTTAACTGTTTTTAACACTGAGAGAATGAGAGGTGAACCAGGACTTCTGTTGGTTTTAGTTTTTTAGGCGTGTACCCTCTTGAAAGTTGATAACGATCTTAATTTTACTTGAAATTTATTTCTGTGCCCAGAACTTTATTCCCAACTCCATGCTTCACAAAACAATTGAAAATGGTAATCTCATGTTAGTTTTATCTTATAATCACAAGAATGAACTAAAACTGGGTCTAGATTAATTATTAGAATGTAACACATTAACAAAATTTATATCGATTATCACGTTAAAAACTTATAACTGTAAAGTGACAAAGAAAAACTGAAGAACGTGTGTGAATGTGTAAGCATTGTGACAAATATTGTCAAAACTTTAAAGGAAAATGCTTGATAAATATGCCGAGAATATTAGGGTCTTAGTAACAAGGTCAGATCAGAATATTATTCTAATTTTGTTCAGTCGCGCAAATATAAACCTTTTTTTAAGGCAAAAAACAAGGGAAAGGTCAAATTTATATCGATTATCACGTTAAAAACTTATAACTGTAAAGTGACAAAGAAAAACTGAAGAACGTGTGTGAATGTGTAAGCATTGTGACAAATATTGTCAAAACTTTAAAGGAAAATGCTTGATAAATATGCCGAGAATATTAGGGTCTTAGTAACAAGGTCAGATCAGAATATTATTCTAATTTTGTTCAGTCGCGCAAATATAAACCTTTTTTTAAGGCAAAAAACAAGGGAAAGGTCTCC